TCAGGTTGATTGTTTAATCTGCCAGTTTTGACAATCACTCTCTCTTCAAGTAACATACATATAATACTAGTTTGATTATGATTGAGATTGATTGAAGTGAAAACAAAAAATTGGTTGACCAAATAACAGCAAAATTTTTCACCATAATTTGAATGTAAATTAATTTCTGCTTTACCCTGATTGTTAACTATTATTAATATTATTTCAATTTGCTGTTACCATTTTCATCATGACCATCTTTGATGATAAAATTTCAACTGCAACTCATTTATCATGTAAACTGTGTTTATTTGCAATACTATTATTTCATTGAGTGTATGCTGTTCATGTTATGTACGTTTAACCATTCAAATGCCCACATACAGAGTAAAAGTTGAAAGTATCTTTAAGTTGATTCTCGATGATTGATTAACTTGAAATTTTAATTAACTAAACCTTAAATTCAATCAATGATGTCAATGGTAGCATTTATAAATCACGATCATTGGCAATTAAATGCGTCAACAAATGATACAAACCTCTCATCATTGAACCTCAAACAGAGTCCAATTCATTGTCTAAACCAATAGTCAAGTTAAATATTGAATGTCTCTATTAACTGACCACAATTAGATAATCATTGCAATCACATTCCAGGTCAACCATCAGCAGGTCATTTCAATATCATACTTTGATTAACACATCGAGACGGTTGTAATAAATGTTAATTGTCATCCAGACTTGTCTGTCATTGCTATTTCAAGTCTAATTGTGAAGCAATTTGCTCAACAATCGCATGTTGATCTTACAGTAATCATAATCATCATTCACCACGATTTACAGTTACATTATTTACTGTATCAATCATGATTATTGCGATGAGCAGCAAAGTAATCAAAAAATGTTAGGCAAAAACGGAAAAGCCTTTTTCATCACAATCAACCTCAGGCCTTACGATTAAACCAATTTCATGTTGATTGTATTTTGTTACCTTCTCTCTTCAAGTTAATCATCATTTAGATTATTTGATAATAACTCACGAATCTGCCGGTTGATAACTGTAAATATAACAATTGATCGTGTTCAATTAAAAGCTAATTTCATCAAGTTTATCTGAAATGTCCTCTGAAGCTTTGTTTACATTTACAGTTTTTCTGGTACCAACAATGGATATATTTTGTCAGGTAATTTCAATTCAATCTTTTTTTATCTCCTTTTGTTAACAATTAAATTTGCAAATTATCCAACTGATTCTTCAATTGTAAATGCTAATTCCATTCACTTTCTCATAATCATGTAAATTATCAGGATCAATCATCGGTATACAATAATATTCAAATGTAGATGTAAACATTGGTCACTTTTATTTTCATTTCAAACCTGATCTCAACCAATCTCACAATTACCACAACAATCATCATCACAATTAACATCAACATTACCATCAACCTCAACATAATTATGGTTAGTGAAAAATTGATCAACAAAACTTGGATAACTCAATACTGGCCAAGATAAAAGGTAGGATATCCCAATGAAAAGGTTAGGCCTAACCTAAAGGTGTTTTCATTGTATAATTTGTCATTATTATCAACACTTTTTGTTGATTAATTTACTTCTAATTACAAGTGTATTAAGCATTATTTAACAATTGTAACGATAATTATATTGAAAAGTAAAATTGAATCCTTGAGCGTTAAATTTAGACAATAATAGCTTCATGATTCTTCATTTAACTTGATTAACAGTTAATTGTTAATGTTTACCTCTTTTTTTCCTGTCTTTATCACCTTGTAAATGGAGGATCAAGTGTATTAAAAAAGATGCAAGTTAATTTTACTTTTTAAATTTTTAATCAGATTAATCGGGTTAACCTACAATCAAATGTAAACCCGTTTTCTGGTTCCAAGTATCTCATGGTAATACAGAATGAATTTTAACACACAAAAGACTGAAACAAATTGTGTTTTGTTTTACCTTTTACCTATTAATTTGATTACTCAAATCCTTATCATTTTGGTTATAATTTAGCAACAATCATAATAATAATTATCAACATCATCTTTTTGTTTCCATTTGAAACGTGATCTGAAGGATTAAACTATTATTTTCATATTAACCAAATTAAGCTCTTCTTTTGGATTATGGTTCAACAGCAATTGTAACAATAAGCTTAAACAATAGCGAAAACCTTTAGTTAATTTCAATTTAATTCACCTCTTTTTTTTCCTGATTGTCATTGAAGGTTTAGCTAAATTAATCTAAATCATATTCCAAGAACGCAATTGAATATAAAAAACAGGAAAACCTGCAGTTTTCAGTTAAAACATGAAGCTTGTGGCAATTTAACTTGCACAATCAATTAATAGTTCATTGTTTCTGGTTTAATTACGTTAAGAAACAAAATCAATTGTTTAATAGCCATTTTACCCAATCAAGATATACTGCAAGATACATCGCTACGAGTGAATCTGGTTTCAACCAAACTGTATCCAGAATTGATTCTAGCCATTCAATTGTTATTATTATCCTGGTAAAGGTTCAAGCTGTGAATTATTATCATCATTTTAAATTAAAATTAAGATGAAAACAGGAAATTTAAAGTTAATCATTGGTGCGTCTATGTAAATCAGCTGTAAGCCTAGTTTAAAATAGCTGTCATTATTAAACCTGAAAATGGTGATTGGCGTTAAATTAATGTTTACAATGTCAATAGAGATTGACTTTCACTTATGTTAATGGCAGTTGAAATCAATTTAGTTAAGGTTAATTCAGTTATTTTCATGGATCCAGTTGAGGGTAAACGTGATAATCCTAACTGATTGGTTAAGGTATATAAAGCACCAGATGAGCAAGGTTTAACCACAGGGTTTACACTAATAGTATTAGTTAATCAACTTGATGACCACAAAATCCTGGTTCAATATTTTGGTTAAATTTTGTTCACTTTTAAATATTAAGTTAGAATTTTAGTTCCAACAAAATATTTTCTGGTTAATATCGCAATATAATAATGTAGTACCACAATTCCCGGCGGTGGTCTCACGATTAAGTCTTTAGTTAGATTAAATCTATCAATTTTGGTTCCATGGCAAAACGAAAATCAAAATTTAAAATGATTAACTGCCAAATATAATGATGTCCTAATCAAAATGGATATTGATCAAGCCTGAAAAGGTAAAGATAAAGATGTTATTGATGTTTCATTGAAATGATACAAAGTATTATGAAAATATGAAATATCTGAGACAATCAAAGTCTATTGTATACCTTTAGGTAATAATTGACTATTGAATCCTTTTTTGGTCATTCTGCCCATTCGCCATTTACATGGCCATGTAATGTGGGGATTAACACAGTGACCAGTTTTGATGATAAACACAACGCTTTAGCATCTTAATCTAAAGCTTCCTCCTTTTTTCCTCTCTTTCCCTGGTAAAATGAGTTAAAACCACCCAGATAGTTAAAACGTGATGGGTAAGGTTGGGATGATGATGAAGAGAAATAACTTTCAGGTAAATGAAGATCTCAAAGGTAAAGGAAAATATCTTCAAACTTATTGACAGTGATGGGCCATAAGGTAGGCAGGAATTAGATAAGGTAAAGATGAAAATGATAATGTTGCTGTTGATAATGATGATGAAGGAATCTGAGGCAACGTTGAATCGGCTAAAATCAAAGGTTGAATATGGGTTAGGTTCATTGATATCAAACTTGCCCTCAAAGTCGCTGGTTTTGGCTAAAAATATTACAAAAGTTTTTACTTTTTTTTTCTCAGCAAAATAATATCATGTTTATCTAGCCATTTTTTTTATTTGGGTGGGCCAAATATTCCTAACATTTTTCTGGCTCACAATTTGGCTGTGTTATTGAAAGAATTGAAAAATAATAGCAGTAATAATGATAACAATAATCACATGGGGAGTTTGAAGGCAACTCTGACCAAATTAAGACATTATTTTAGGTGTTTTTGGCCTGCTTTAGCTTTTGGCTTCAACAGTGTTCCTCTTGGTTGGGTCAAGTCGGTGAAGAGGAGGTGGAAGATGATGATTGGGATGAAGATGAGGAGAGAAAAGAGAGTTTTGGTAAAGAGAGGAACAAGGAGAAACCATTAAGGGTAACCAAGTTTACAGGTTAACGAGTAGTTAGCTGTTGGTGGTCAATGTCCTAAGGTTAAATAATGGCCACTTTCTCATGATGAAGTTATTGAGATTTGTAACTACACTTGATTTAATTTAACAATTTAATTGAGTTATTATCGAAAGATAAAATGAAATACAAAATACAAAAGATTAACAAAATAGTGAAAGTCGCCATTGATACACAATTGGGTATACCTTCATTTCGCCACTAAAGACGATTTCAAGATGATCTTCTTAAGGCTAGAGAGGGGTTTAACTCATTTTCAAAATGGAATTCAGAGCCTTATTTTGCTCAATTATTTTTACATATTGTTAGTTTCAATTTCACAATTTTAGTTTCATAATTTAATTTAGGATGGAAATCATTAATAGTACTAGAAGCTACAGAAAAATCAATTCACTGTGAATTTTATATAATTTTAACAAAAAATTGAATTGAACTCATATTACGGTGTAAGGAGTATGTTTGCAAGCTATTGGAAATTCATTAGATTCACTTGATCATCTTTATACTAATTAAATGTGAATAAATTTCAAACAAAATTTTGCCCCTTTTCGTCAGTTAAGTGAGTTTTAAGAGATTGGAAAAGATCAAGCTTAGAAGCTTTAGTGGCGAAATGGAGGTGAACCACACATTGTACTCAAAGCTAATCAATCA